GCTCTGTTGAACTTCATGAGGTTCACATGGGCCCATTCCTTGAGTTTGTCCAGGTCCCTCTGGATGGCATCCCACCCGTCAGGTGTGTCAGCTGCACCACAAGAACACATCTTGGTGTCATCTGCAAACTTGCTGAGGGTGCACTCGATCCCACTGTCTGTGTTATTCATGAAGGTATTAAAGAGTACTGGTCCCAATACAGACCCTTGAGGGACACCACTCATCACTGATCACCATCTGGACATTAAGCTATGACCACTACCCTCTGGATGTGACCATCCAACCAATCTCTCATCCACCCAACAGTCCACCCATCAAATCCATATCTGTCCATTTTAGAGAGAAGGATGTTGTGGGGGACTGTGCCAAAAATCCATCCTAGAAGGTCACTAGGTTGGTCAGGCAGGACTTGCCCTTGGTGAAGCCATGCTGGCTGTCTCGAATCACCTCCCTGCCCTCCATGTGTCTTTAGCATAGCTTCTAGGTGGATCTGCTCTGTGATCTTTCCAGGCACAGAGGAGAGACTGACGAGTTGGTAGTTCCCAGGGTCCTCCTTGCTACCCTTTTTAAAAATAGGTGCAATGTTCCCTTTTTCCAGTCTCCAAGGTCTTCACCGGACTGCCAGGACTTTTGAAAGATCATGGAGAGTGGCTTAGCGACTACATCAGCCAATTCCCTCAGGACTCTGGGATGCATCTCGTCGGGTCCCATAGTCTTGTGCATGATCAAGTTCCTTAAGTGGACTTGGACCTGATCTTTTCTTACTGTGGGAGGGACTTTGCTCCTCCAGTCCTCATCTTGCAGGCCATTCCCTTGAGAGGTGTGGGAAGAGAGACTGCCAGTGAAGACTGAAGCAAAGAATTTGTTGAGTACGTCAGCCTTCTCATCTGTTGTTAGCAGTCTTGCTCATTAAGTTAGCATGACTTGCTCATCAAGCAGGGGTATGCTTGCTTTGACTTTCCTTTTCTGGCTTACATAGCTGTAGAAGCCCTTCTTATTATTCTTTGTGTCCCTTGCCAAGTTCAGCTCCAGCAACACCTTGGCCCACCTGACCTCATCCCTACACAACCAGGCAGCATCCCTGTACTCCTCCCCGGATACCTGTCCCTGCTTCCACTGCCTGTGCATTCTTGCCCTTTAGTTTGCCCAGCAGGTCTTCACTCAGCCATGCTGGTCTCTTGCCTGCCTTTCCTTGTTTCTTGCACCTGGGGATCAGGAGCTCTTGCTTTCTAAGGAAAGCATCAGTGGCTTAGGGTTTCAAAGATTTCCAAACTTTGTAGAAACTTTGAGAATTGTTTTTATATTTAAAATGGTAGAGTTTTTTTGGGGGAGGACTTAAGTTGACCTCTCGTGTAACTGCTGTTTTTAAAATGGAGAAGAAAATTCTAGTAAAATAAGCAAATTAACAATATCAGCTATATTTAGCTGGCTTCTAGATATTTGTCCTTATAAGACACTACAAAGTGTCTTAAGAGCATTATTCTTGTATTCACAGGATTTTACAGTGTTGCAGAACCTCTACCCAATATAAATCCATCTAAACTTCCCTTGGAACACTTGCTTCATGAATTTCCACTAATGTTCTTATACCCATCACCAAACCTGGCTTTAACAACCATTGAAGAATGCTGGACATGGTCGCTGTTTTGTGAGGCTACACTCAAGGGTATTAATGCCTCTTCCCAAATGGCAATCTCACTTGAATTTACCTCATATAAGTCTGCAGTAGCTGAGATCTGCAATGAGTATATGGCTTGCTGTGAATTCAACTACAGCTCTTACCTCTTCTTGTCAGTCTTCTGCTCTGCTTTATTTTGTATTCTGATTCTAGATCCTGTATCTTTCCTTCTTTAGTCTCACTTTAGTCTTCATTCCATTCAGCCTGTGTGTTGTGTTATGCCTGTTTTTTCTTTTGCTATCTTGGCATCAGCAGAGGAATTTTGAGAACACAGCATGTGGTTCCTGGATCTAGCATCTCTGGAGCCGCTTGCAGCCTGTGGAAGAAGATATATAAAAAATTGTTTATAGCTGGGTTGTAGCATACACAATGCAAATAAGGTATTTGGGAAAGGAAAAGTTAATTTTCAGAGTACAACACATCTTTGGTAAGAAGGTTCTTGTTGCAGTTTTCTAGAGGCTTGTAGCATGACCAAATTTGGGCAGCCTTTCACAGGGACAGTGAAAGGTGAATCCCTAAAACCAGAGTGATTTTGTGTTTAAATCTCTTGTGCAGACTAGGAGAGCTCTATAATTTATCAGTGAGCCCAATGGCAGAACTTAGTTTGGAAAACCTCTTCCTGAATTTTGTTGAGAAGGATTATCTTAAACTTTTTCAGACATCTGTCTTGAAAGTGATCGACTTGAAAAGACAGTTAGACACCGATGTAAGTAACTGAGAGTGGCCCTATTAGGGTGTTAAACATTTCCTTTTGTAATAGGTTGTGCTGTTTGATCTTCAGGAAATACTGATTTTAAGCCATAAACAGAAAAATGAACTGTGATTAGAAATTCAAGTATTTTGAGGATGACTTGATTAATCTCTTGGTGATCAAAACACAGAGGGGTACTGACTTTTACTTACAGAAGATAAAGTGGAAGAAGTTTATCTGAAAAAATTATCTAGGCCTTGGAAAAGTGGTAATACTTTTTTTTTTTAAATGAAAAATGACAACGAAGTTACATGATTATGTTACGGAGCATTTAAGAACACTGAAAGGTAACAGAATTATCCTTTCTGTAACCACTCTTTGGGTCCATGACTAAGAGAACAGTCTCTTGCCAAAAGAACATGTTGAGTTCAGAAATTTAGATTTTTAGGATATTGTACAATTTGACTGAGAATTAGGCAATGAAGAACATAATACTTGTGAAACACAGAAGCATTTAATACGTACTATGTGCATCTTAATGTTATGTTTGTATTTGTGGTATGTATGGATTTAACAACTGGGAGATCACTGACATTTCAAAAGTGTTTCCAATGTTCATTTTGAACCCACATACCCCTGAATTTAAGACTTGTTTAGTCGTTCTCAGAGCCTGTTGCTTTTTATTAGATCTGCAGTTTTACATGCTTCTGTATTTGTCTGTCACATTCCTGTGTATAGAGTTTGATCAATGTAAGTTAAATTTTACTGCATTTTCGGTATTTCAGTCTGACAGTTACTCCTTAGCTTGCGAGGTTAGGTGAATCCTAATTTTAAATACCAAACGACAAAACTTCACAGAAAAAGCAGTAGATTAATTCAGTGGTATTTGCTTGCTTCTCTAGATGGAGTCTGCGTGCGTTTCAATTCATGAAGCTTTGAAGTCTGTCATCGATTATCAGACTCATTTTCGCTTGAGGGAAGCGCAGGGCCGCAGCAGAGCAGAAGATTTAAACACGAGGGTGGCCTACTGGTCAATAGGGGAAGCAATCATTCTTCTTGTTGTTAGTATTGGGCAGGTATTTCTCCTCAAAAGCTTCTTCTCAGATAAAAGAACCACAACAACCCGTGTTGGATCATAACTGGTAGTGGTAATGCTTCAGGTCATTGTGTGCTACTCATCTGTAAAAATTACTCTTCTCCAATTAATTGCAGGTACAAAGGATCTGAACGTATGCAACATTCAAATGTGTCTAGCCCTCATCCCTTAAAAATCACAAAACAGACCCAAAATGTTATGAAAGGGACACATAATTTGAAATATCCTAAAAATACTTTGGAACTTAAGGTTTTTCTGATCCCTGTATTAAAAATCTGGCAGCGACCAGCCTCTCTTCATTTTTGCTGATTTGAATCCAAACTGAGTTTACTAGTAAGGTTACCCATCTGCAGTATAAGACTTCAAAATAACCCAAGAGTCTAGTGTCTGATACGAGAGCCAATATATATGAAAATTTGATTTGCTTTTAATATTCAGGCTAAAAGTATTGGATTATAAAAAGGCAAATGTGATGAACTGTAGTGCACTTTCTTGATTTGCTGTTAAAAAAAAATCCAGTGATATCCCTTATTTGTAAAATTGTTGCAAGCTTGACACTACATCATAGTGCAAATTCTCCATCTGCCTGGTAAGTCTCTGCGTTCAAAACTTCCTAAACTTTACACTGGGGTATGTTTGCTTAAACATACATTCTTCCATATTAAAATAGGCACATTTCCTCTTTTACAATGTTTGTTTCACTGAACAAATTGTAAGCTGAGACTACTCAGGAAATCCACTTTCTGTATTCAAAAAGCCAAATCTCCAAGTTTATTTAAAAAGCATGCAATAAAATAGGGAATCTTGTAACTTGTTACTGAAACTGTACAGTTTCTGTACTTGTATATACTGCTGCTGCTTTTTTAATTTAAGACCAGAAGTAGCTTGGTTTGTTAAGCAGCACAGCACCAGCACTGGATTAGGTTATATTATGCATTTGGCACATACAAAGCTTTTTACTAAATTGTTTTCCTATTAAGAGGCCAATTTGATACAGATACTGCATTGCACAAGTGCTGTAAATTTTACTTTGCTGTGTGTGGTGCACTGATACTTGATGGCCTTGTGCATCTAACTGCCAATCTTTTTTGCTGGTGGTCAGGAAATGTTTTGAGTATTTCAGGTTATCTTTTCGGTAGCGTTACAGTCACCTTGTTTCCATTGCTCCTGTCTTTAGTAGCTTATGTACTGTAAAACCTTGTTTTATTTGGATGTGGAAGGTAGTAAATATACGTACGTAAAAGTAGCTTGAATTGAGCTGGACATAATAAGACTAAACTCCTTCAGATGGCTCTGGAGGAATAAGTAGACGGTCCAATTCCTAAGTGCACATAAACTAAACTAAGGTGAAAAAAATTGTCATATATTACTGGCTAATTCAAAAGATGCTTCTTACACAAGTTCTTAGCAAGCAGAGAAAGAATGCTAAACCCTTATTAATAGCCTGTCTTATTTCTAGCGTAAATCTGAAATTACATGTACAGGAGACAACTGAGCAGTCTGAAGAATTGATCTAAGATGACTTGATTTCAGAATCTTGTGATGGCTGAAAAAAATAAACACAAGTGCATCTACTCTCTGTTGTGAACTGAATGACTGCTCTTTTGGAAGCTAAAGAAAAACCTTAAACAGTTCAAAATTATTTAAAAGCTTGCAAGGCTATTAAAAATCTTAATGTATGTAAAATTCAGGATTATATGCAATGCTTTTCTATCCTGTAGTGAATTTTAAATACTGCAGTCCCATTTTGGGATGCAAGCTTCCACTTAAGACTCACAAAGATCAGAAAGCAAAAAAACTTGTGCTTGCTTCTTATGATACAAATCTGTGCCTGCACACAATACTCTTGATTGTACCTGTATGCTTTATTCTTGTGTTTCAGCAACTAATAACCTGTACTTTTTGTGCTGCACTGCACACAGTAATGAAGCAAGTGGTACACTTTGGGTGCAAGTGTCGGATGAAAACATGATTTCATTTTGACAGCATCCACTATTTTCTTCTAGAGTTTCAAATATCCCTTGTGTAGCTTTAATCACAACAAAAACATTTGTTTTAAAGATTGAAACTTTTTTTTTCCACTGAGTTGTTCCGTGTGCTGTCAAAATTGATAAACAATGGGTTAAAACAGATAATGGTTGGCCATCATTTACATGTCTCTTTATTCTTCCATGTTTGAATGTGTGAAGTGGGACTGTTCAGCTCAATATTACTCCCACTGCAGAGGTTTAGTGGACTTGACTTTTGCATTGAAGTTAGGTATCCAAACCAATCCTCTGGTATCCTGCTGCATAATATGCAGCAATAGCTTAAAAATGCCTTTATTTTTGTGTTATTAAAAACATGGCACAACTACACCTTTAAACATAGCTGTACATAGTTTTTAAAATAAGTGATTGAATAGGATATAATAAAACACATGCTAAGACGCAGTGGGTGAAGAAATGCATTGTGAATTTTGGTTAAAGCTGCATCTTTTTAATATATAAAAAGAATAGTTTGGTTTATGGTGTGATACACAAGTAAACGCCCTGCGTTAAAGGGGATATAACTGTTTTTAATTGCTAAAGGCCGTGGGTTTCAGCTATTCCTTGGATGTTTATGTTTACAGAACTTCTTTTCATGTCCTGAAATGTCAGTTCATATTTTAGGGGTGGGGATAGGGGAAGTTTAGTTTGAATAAGACAAAAAAAGCAGACCCTGTGAATATTGTGTGGGAAAATAAAAATTAATATATGAATGTGGTCTGATTGTTTTGTTTGCATGTGGGAGCAGGGAGCATTATTCTTCAAAAAAATCTTTGAATAACAATTTGAGTAACCAGCTTGTGAACACATTACAGTTAACCTACCACCTGACACTTGATCTGCACACACATACACTAACTGCCCTGGGACAGGCACGGACACCTTCGGCAGGACAAACACCTACCCACCTTGGAGAGGTTCCTGCTTTGTCAGACTCTGTCGGGTGCAGAGACCAGTGCTGGACGTGGCAAGGCTGTAACTCATCCCAACTCCTTTTACTGACTGCCAGCACAAACCGGGCGTGGTGCTCAGTTGTGTCCGCATCGGACCTACACCAAAACCAGCTTCCCCTCCTGCGCACTCTGCCCTCGGCATCTGCTGCGCTGCAGGATTTGCTGAGGGAGGAGGTGCCACCACCATGGCCCTGCGGCTTGCGGGCCCACGGCTGTGCCCCCCAGCACGCTGGTGCCGCCCATGGTGGGGCACAGGGGGCAGGGAAAGGCACCAGGAGAAGGGGGAGATAGCAGCACCCAGAGACTGTGTCAGGAAAACACAAATTTACTTTCTTTGCCTTCAGTTCAGGGCAGGTGGAGCCCTGCTAGTGCTGCTGGTGGGGCCGCCTCTTGCAGGGCTGGGGAGAGTCCTGGGGGCTGGGAGCCCTCCTCTTTGCGGGGCGCCAGGGCCTCCCGGGCCAGCAGCCCCTGCCCCAGCCAGTAGGGGAGGGTGTGCGGCCGTAGGCCTGGGCAGAGGCACCTGCCACTGCCGCCTGCCCCGGCCTCTGCTGGGGCTGCTCCTGCTCTGCAGGGACGGGCGCAGACGAGGGGTGGCCAGGACCCCTGTGGAGGGCGGCCTCCGACGTGCTGGGCTGTTCCTCCACGTGGGAGCTTGCAGGGCTGCTGGAGGTGGCCGGCTGGTGGGTGGGAGTCCCCAGCTGGGAGGCAGTGGAGCTGCGGGTGGCTGTTCCCTGGAAGGTGGTGGGGCTAGGGCTGGCTGCCCCCCAAGAGGTGCTGGGGCTGGGGCTGGATGCAGGGCCGTCCTCCTCCCCAGAAGCAGCGCGGGGGTCCTGCTGGCCCACGTGCTGGCGGATGTCCCCGCCGCACAGGCGCACGGCGGCGGTGATGAGCCGGAGCACGAATGTCCGCGTGTG